ATATATATATTTAAACACATAGAAATTTTGAGAAGGAGATGTTTTATGGCCTTTAATCAGACCATCAAGGGGATATCTGATCAAAAATTTTGATTTTTCTAGACTAGGTTAGTGAAAACTCATCCAAATATAAAATTAGTTTAAAAATAGTTGCAAAATTAAATACATATAGATGGACTTCTCTTTTCTTTCATTTCTCTAACCAGTTTTCACTTTCTCATTAAATATGATATATCAAAGTCATTTTACTATTTATTTTGCCTTCTCAAGTTAAAATATTTTACAGAAAAGAAGAACATACATTTAGGACAAAAAATCTGTCCTTAAGTAACATATTTCTTTGCAACACTGACTCAGAGTAGGTCAATATGCTTCATCCACATGGTTCTATGACAGGTCTTGGGGCTGCTGAGGTAATATTATTTCTCTAAAGGAGCATCTCTAAATAATTTGGACAATGTGGGTTGGGAGGTATTAGTGGTGGGATGAGTTCTATGCAGTACTACTCTAGAAAATGCCAATTCGTCTACTTTCCACTTAATTGAGTTGAGCTTGTGAGGAATAGCAGAAAGATCCCCTTTGGTAGTGTGAATTCCTTGTTCTAGGTAACTTCCAAATTTTCTTGTTCTGATTGGGTCTCTTTCGCACTGTGCCACTGAGTCTGCTTCTCAGGACCCGCTTTTGTTTAGCCAAGACATCAACATGATGACCCAGAGGTACTCCTCGCTTTATCTACACAGTGTCACTGTTAAGATCTTCATGGGGAGGAATCAGCAGGCTTCACTTCCTTATTGCAAGTGCACTTTTATGTAGATATTCCCAAACATTTACTCTGCTGCGTGCCCAAGGAGAGAGCTCCTCAAATGCACTGGAGAAACACCAGCTTGTTAAGGGTCTGTCAACAGCTGTGCACATTGATTTGTTTGTTTGAGGTTAAAATTTTAACAGACCAAATCTCTCTTGGAAATGCTTCTGCCCCTCCTTCCCACACAAAGCATATACTAGCTCTGGATGATTTTGTGTTTCTCAGAAAGTAAATTCAAGACAATTAAAAATTCCTCAATAGGGTTACACCAGATTTTATTTATTTATTTGTTTGTTTTTGCAGAACCGGCGATTGAACTCAGGCCCTTGCGCTTGCCAGGGAAGCGTTTATTTCACTGAGCCATCTCCCCGGCTCCCACCAGATAGATTTTAGATTGTCCCTTTTACCTTTTTTGTCCTCTCTGCCACTGTCAGGAACAATGTTCAATGTTTCTACATTGAAAGACTCTAACAAATAGCCTCTACTAATATACCTTAAACCTTGTTTATCTGAGGATCTTTACAAGTCCTTGCTGGCCTTTGGGACAATCACGTTCCATCCCAAAAGCATGTAATTGAATTATCATCACCTTATCTCAGCTTGGATTGTCGCCTTTCCTTGTCAGGTTAAAAACAACAACAGAGTTTTCAAACAAAATGTTCTCTCCCCTGGTTTCTTGTAAGGCCATTAGAAACAAGCTCTTTAGTTTGGGAACATCTTTGATGTATTAGCTTTTAGCTTTTACGTACACTGCGAAACAGCTTTCATTATTGCTCCTCTTTTCCCGTCTTTTACACTAGCGAAGGGGTAAGATCTACATAAGAATAATACTTAAAATATCTGTTTTATTGGAAAAAATTGAAGTTACCAATGCATGTATATGGATCCAAGTTTTCATTTTTGTTCTCCTTCTTAATGCAGAATCAAATCCTGAATCTAAGACCAACACAATTCAGCAACATTACATTTGAATGTGTGCTTTCATCCAATCATTTGTCAGCGAATTCACAGTAGCAGGCATTCAGTAAATTCTGGAACTGACCCATGATTGAGTGAGCCCACAAGCCATGTGTCTACTTCCCCACTGGACTAGAAGGCTACTTGGCAGGTTATTCCCCTCCTCTGGGAGCTCTGATTAATTAAGGTATCTCAGGAATCTGTCCAGCTAGCTCTGTAGGAGTGAGTTATGCTGGATGTTGGTTAAATGTGTTTTTATTTTTCTCCATCAGTTTGGTGACTTCTCTGTATTTCTCAGCAGTTTGGTAGCAGCATAGTGGGAAGAGGTAGATGGGGAGAATGCTTCTAGTTGGATTCATGATGTGCATATTGTAACATTAACTCAATGAAAGGTTTCAGTAAACTTCTGAGTGTGTCATATATAGTCTTGTATTTTTCTTTTATGTTTAACCACCAATTAGTCCACTGATGGTCCTTGCTTTGCTGAATGGAAGTCTGACAATGACAGAAAAATTCCACTTGAAGTTATGGATTGCTGCCTGGGTCAACCAACCCATTGGAGAGATGGAGCTCAGAGATTGACTGGGCATTTGCGAGAGCTGCCTTTTCTCACTCAGCTCTGTAAGGAGCTCTTTATTTGGTCTATCAACTTGATTGTTCCAAATCTAAAAAAAAACTTCTTTTACTAGGGACCTGACATGATATACCATAATGACTTCGAAAGAAACGTTAAACAGTCCATCCTGTCAACGGTGGCTGCCGGGCGCCGACAGACCATGGCAGGTCTTTTTATCAGGTCAATGAGCTGCTAAAAATTGTCTAAGTAGGACCCTTCCATGATAGGCCATAGTGCCTCAGAGGAAGTCATTATAGACTATCAAGTAAACAATACACATTTTTTAAAAAAATTACTAATTAGGTTTTGCAGCAATACTTCCCATCCTCAGGGGCTCTACAGTGAGATAATTGACCGCAACGTGAGTTATGCTCCCCAGCCGAAGGCGTGAAGGTTAATTATCATGGTGTACGGCCCCCAGCAAAAGGGACCATGGTGATGAGATGATCACACTTCAGACATATATTGATAGCTACTTTTTAAGTAAAACTTTTTTGGATGGTTTTGATTAAAGGGCAAAATAAGGCAGCTGTACTAAGAGCAGCTTATGCCAGGAAATGGCCCTGCACCCCAAAGAAGCAGGATACTGTGGAGAAAAACATTAGTGAGCTTCTGGTTCAAGACATGCATCAGGATATTAACAGACTTAGGATCATTTCTTTTTCTTTTTTTTTCTTTTTTTTTCAGAACTGGGGATTGAACTCAGACCCTTGCGTTTGACAGGGAAGTGCTTATTCCACTAAGCCATCTCCCCAGCCCCCAGGATCATTTCTTGAGATGCTTTTGAATTAGATATTTCTAAAGTGCCTAAGTCCTTGGTGTATTGAATCTCATTTTCAATATATAGGTTTTAGTTTCTTGAGAGTTTCAATATATTTATATGAGAGATGTTAGAGTATACATTCATATAAGTTTGTTGCAGTTATTTATTTCTAAGTAAATGATACATTTTGAAAATTTAGCTTTTTTGTGGAATTTATGATCAGGGTCTAATTCAATCTCAGTACAATTTACTGTAATGTTAAGAGAAATGTTAAGAAGAAGGATCAAATCAGAAAAAGGAAAGAGAGCACCATTGTTTGCTTCTTATTTTTTTTTTTTCATTGTTTGCTTCTTAAATAACTTGGTGGAAAAGAAGAAATGGTGATGGTGGCTACCATATTGGAGGACTGACTTAAAAAGATGTCCATGTATTTTCTGAGTAGAATCAAGTGTTCAAACTCCACTGTGTCAATTTGTGTACACATATAAAGACAGCTTCGCACCTGAGTAACAACTAGGAGAAATAAAGCATGTGTACATATGGGAGTAATTTTATCTTTTGCTAGTAAGGAGACTTGGGTGAGATAAGTACTCTCAACACACAAAAAATGAAATGATACTTCGAAGAATTATTCTGTTTAAAGTCAATAGATGACCTATTCATGAAGACATTTGGTGAAGCAAATGCAAAAAATCTGTTAATGAGCCTTAGAATTTACTACTGAAATATTAAATTTAGATAAATATTTAAATTTCCAATGTTACTATTGAACATTAAATATAATATTAAATAATTTAATTGTTAGCATTGACTTTTCTGTAGTGGAATGTCTATCATTTGAAAATGGTGTTGCATAAGGTGTTATAAAAATGCAATAAATTTTTAAATGCAAAATTTAGGGTAAAAAACACATTGTCATTAATCCCCTTATGATATCTCTCCTCAAGTACTCCTCCTTACTTTGAACACATATATCCTAGTTTTGGTCACTCTCTGAAGCACTTCCAAAGTCCTTTTGCTTGAGTGTTTTATGTGTTTAGTTGCACTGTCCTGACTATCTGGGAGTCCTGCCTTGCTTCAGAATGTTTGTCTTCCATGTCCATGTTGACTTTGGGGAAAAGCCAGAAGCCACACCATGCCAGATCTGGTGAAGAAGGCGGATGAGGACACACTGCGATGTTTTGAGGAGCCTTGCTATTCTTAGGTAGCACTTAGCAGCTGGGTTCACTGTATGTTTTGATCATGCCTTGTAAAAAGAGTGATAAAAGAGCTCTTCCAGAAATGCTTTAGAAAGTGGCAAGAACGCCGCTATGCGTGTGGGGGGAGTGCTCCCAGGTGGGTTACCAGCAATGTGTGCTTTTACTGCAATACTTCTTTTCTGCTTAAACATTCACCACATTTTTGATCACTTCTTGTTATTTTGTTTTTAGGTTGTCTTATTTTATCACCAAGGAGTAGTCAGTAGAATTATAGCTCTGTTTTTAAAATACCAGTCTGTGCAATCAAAGAACACAAGTCACGCACATTTGTTTTTCCTACATTAGGACAAATAATTGACTTTTAAAATGATTTTTATCTATTGAGTTAAGAAGGCAGGTAATCTAAGTCGACAAGGCCAGGTTTTGCACTTTGCTTCTTGTGTCTTTTCTTGACTCTGCTTAGCATTCCTTACCAGGTGAGACTGTCCAGCACTTTCGGTAAGGCGCTCCTGAATCTTTCACATACAAGAAATAAACACTTACCTTTCTTGCATAGGAGGAAGTTGAATCCAGCTATTAAATCGGGGATCATATCGACTGACAAAATTCGTACTATGTTTTCCTGTAAAAATACATTTGAGATGTTTAAAACTTACATTCCTTTGAAGGTTTGCATCATCAGCTGATTTCTTTCCTTCCTTCCTTCCTTTCTTTGTTCCTTCCTTCCTTCCTTTTTTCCTTCCTTTGTCTCCCCTTCCCTCTCTTCTATCTGTCTGTCTGTTGGTAAATCGGACAGTTGGTCGGTCTGTCTTTCTGTCTTTCTGTCTGCCTGCCCGTCTGCCTGTCTGCCTGTCTGCCTGTCTGCCTGTCTGCCTGTCTGCCTGTCTGCCTGTCTGCCTGTCTATCTGTTCCTGTCTTTCTCTTCTTGGTCTTTCTGTTCTCAGGTTTAACAAGCAGATGAATTAGGTAGAAGGATTAACAAACATAGCATGAAAAGTACTTGGTCAGAGAAAGAATTGTACCTCTTTGAATCTTTCCTCCCTTTTACTTTACTGCTTTTGGAATTAGGTAAAAGAGCATCAAAGAAATTCTAAGCATGATGTTTACTAAACTCATTTTTATCACAGTGTTAGGACAAAAATTGTGTGTTTTGATGTTTTTAATGTTTTAAAAAGAAGTTATTATCTATAAATATCAGTTTGAGAAACTTTCGTATGCTTTCTCTGGTTAGTCTCTTAAAAAAACCTTTTATGCTTTTTTTTTTTTTACTGAATAAAACATTTAAGGACTTTATAAAAAAAGAGAAACAGTGTTCACAGCAAAACAGACAGTACACAGATTTCCCACATGCTCCTTGCCTGCCTGCATGTCAAACTCCTCCTGTTGTTTGAACTGCTTTTACTGACCCAGGAACCTAGGGACAGTAGAGTCGTCTGTCTCAGTCACGTAGAAATGACGGCAATAACTATAGTAACCATCTCAGTTGGGGAATCAGTTTTGTGCTGTGCATGTCATGTAAGTTCTGTGCATGTGTTTGGGGAAGGTACGGTGGCTGTGATGTCCACACCAGCTCACGTGCTGAAATGGGATGCATGAGCCTTCTGAGCTTCCTGACCAGCTTTCCTCTCTGGTGAGCCTCAGAAGCACAGTAAGGGCTCCAAGGTGATATTAACATGAACCTTATTTTGCACATCTATTGGCATCAAAGCGAGAGATGGGTGCAAAAGAGTGCACTATATTTCCCACGTGGCACTTGTGGTAATCACTGCAGGTAAGTGAGGCTGTGACTTTGAAAGGCTGTGTTTGTCTATGTACGGGTGACAAAACATTGAGACATGGGTAGCAGGCTTCACCACAGCAGTAAATAGATAGGGTGCATTCATGTGTGTATGTGTACATGCATGTGTGCACATGCTCACAGGAAACCCAATTGTTAATTGCATAAATGCCTATTGAGCACCTACTATGTGTCATCTACTTGGGTTCTGGAATTGTACTTGTATGCAAGAAAGACAAGATTCTGGTCATTGTAAAAAATAAAGCAAACATGATATAATGCCAAGTAGACAACAATGAAGCCAGGAGTGGCAGAGAGGAAGCCAGTTGGAGTAGCTGGTCACGGGCATAGAGATGTCTGCTGGAGCTATGCACTTGTCTGCAGGATGGACCTCACTGGAAGCAGGCAAGCAAGTAGAAGAGCCCTTGGTGTTGGAGATGAGTCCTGAAATAGCAGTATTGGGGTGGCTGCGTAGAGAGTGGCCATAGTTCAGAACACAGTGTGCCCTGTGGACTGATGTAGGATTTTGTTTCTATAAGCACAGTATGAAGCCACTGGAGGGTTTTAAGCAATTGAGAAGTATGTCTCACTTATCACACTGGCTAGTGTGTGAAGAGCAGCCTATGGAAGGGTCACTGTGCAAGGGGAAGAACTGTTAGGATGAAGATGTCTGAGTGAAGTTTGAGGTAGTGAGACATGGTCACAAATGAAATGCATTGTATTGGCCAAAGAGCGACTGGATATTGATAAGAAAAAATGAAGCTATTAAGGATGGCCTTCAGTTGGTTAGCCAGAGTGACGAGGTAGAAAGGCATGCCTTTTATGGGGTGGGGAGGACCAAGTCAGTTGGGAGCTGAGAATGGGGAAAAGTTAGGAGCTGTATTTCATACTTAACTTCTGTAGACCTACAGAATCTCAAGCAGGAAGCATCTCGTAGGCTACTGGCTAAGTGAGGTTACTGGTGCAGTTTGGAGTCATTACTTCAGAGCTATTATTTAAATCTGCATGACTCAATAAAGCCAGTTTAAGGAAAGAATATGGAATTAGAAGATAATGAGTCCTGAGAATGACTTGTGGGGAAGAAGAGAAAAAGCCAGTGAAGGAAGGAGCTTTCAGAAAAGCATGGTACTTTAAAAACTGAGTCAGAAAAAGAAGGGACTAAACAACTGAGACTTGACCGTAGGATCTGGTGACCTGAAGGGCATCAGTGACCCTGACAAATGTCATTTCAGTGAACTGGTAGGGATGAAAGCCTGAGTGGAGGCTACTCAGGAGAGACTAAGGTCTAAGAAAACAGAACTAAGAGGATAGGAAATGCAATCAAAAGAAGATTATAGCTAGAAGATGTAGCATTGAGGAAAGGCTTAACTCCATAAATACAGCAAAGTGTTCGAGCAGGCATGGAGGAGGGAAGAATAGGCCTTAGATTGGAAGGAAAAGAATACAGAGCAGTAGTGAAGACACATGAACATATTTGATGACAGGGAGATGAAGGATTTGATTGCTTCTATTCTCAATTCATGAAGAAGCATGAATATCAGCTGAGAATGAGAGCGGGGATTTTGGAGGAGGCATTTGAGGAGAAAGAGAAAAAGTGAACTAGTTAT